GGGCAACAAGAGCGAAACTCTGTCTCAAAAAAAAAAAAGAAAAGAAAAGAAATGAGCAGGCTGGGCGAGGTGGCTCACGCCTGTAATTCCAACTCTTTTGAGAGGCCGAGACAGGCGGATCATGAGGTCAGGAGTTTGAAACCAGCCTGGCCAATATGGTGAAACCCCCGTCTCTACTAAAAATGCAAAAATTAGTCAGGTGTGGTGGCCCACACCTGTAGTCCCAGCTACTAGGGAGACTGAGGCAGAAGAATCGCTTGAACCCAGGAGGCGGAGGTTGCAGTGAGTGGAGATCATGCCACTGCACTCCAGCCTGGGTGACAGAGTGAGACTCTGTCTCAAAACAAACAACAACAAAAAAAAAGAAAGAAAAAAAGAAATGGCCAAGGGGGAGTGGCAATCTAAAAAATCCCCTTGACAGAGTTTGCATTGAAGTTGGCAGGGCCTGGAAGTACAGGCCCCAGTTGGGAACTGTTGCAGTAATTACTTGGTGAGAAATAAAGGCTTGGATCAGCTGGTAATAGAAGGAAAACGAGACAGATGCAGGGGGCACTTTAAAAAGAAATTGACCAGGTCTGCTTACCAGCTGAAAAGCTGCCCCACAGATAGTCAGGATCCTTCCAAGTTACACGCTGGGACAGACCTTGATTTTCCAGTCTTCTTTTGGCAAACTTCTCACAGGCTACAACTGAAAAGCTGACCAGTAACGCCAATTTGAATGAATGCAGCCTGCCAGTCCCTCTGTAACTCTACTCAAATATTTATGGATGGAATTCTACCAGCAACTTTCTTTTAATAACAAAATCATGAATTGTCTAGCCCTGGATATGTATTCATATTCTCATACACGCTCTTAGCAGCAAGCACTGATGAGACAGGCTAATAAATGGATTCAATTAAAACAGCCGACAGTCTTTTGGACCAAGGGAGTTCTCACTTAGATACAGTTTCTATAGCTGCTCATATTCTTACTGCAGCAGATTCTTTTTTTTTTTTTTTTTTTTTTGAGACAGAGTCTCACTTTGCAGCCAGGCACCAGGCTGGAGTGCAGTGGCGCGATCTCGGCTCACTGCAACCTCCGCCTCCTGGATTCAAGCATTTCTCCTGCCTCAGCCTCCTGAGTAGCTGGGACTAGAGGCGCGCGCCACTATGCCCAGCTAATTTTTGTATTTTTTTTAGCAGAGACGGGGTTTCACCATGTTGGCCAGGTTGGTCTCCATCTAACTAGCCCACATCCTAGAAAAGGGGGCACCTCACAAACTGTTGTGCAGTAGTAAAGCTTCGTGGCAAACAAACCCCAAGCTAAAGAATTTGGGGGAGAACATCTAATATTTTCTATTAGCCTTGTGACTTCTATTTGTTAATGTCTCTACAGTATATTTTAAGTTGTGTGTCTACAGCATGAGGATTCTGAATACATTAAACTGTTGGTCTTTGAATTTCTCTGTGGAAATACGAAATTTTAAAACATGTTTGTATGCAGCCAACCCAGCACAGCTGACCTGAAAAGTGAAGCCATGCCGGGCGCTGTGGCTCACGCCTGTAATCCCAGCTCTTAGGGAGGCAGAGGCGGGAGGATAGCTTNAAAAAAAAAAAAAAAAAAAAAAAAAAAAAAAAAAAAAAGTGAAGCCACTTAATGCTGCACCTGGGTTGGACTGATTGATTGATTGATTGATCGATTGATTGATTTGGCTGTGAAACATCTGGAGAAATTAGCAGCCAGGCTTGAAACTTGGTAGGAACTGCTTTTTCTTTCATCCTCTGTCTTGGGTTGGTTTTTTGTTTTAGGGGTTTGTTTGTTGGGTTGTTTTTCTTGTTGTTGTCTGTCTTATAAATGGAGCCTAATGCTCTAATCTTTTGTTTTTAAAAAAATAACTGGTTGCATCAATAAATACTAAAATTGTGCTTACTAATCATAATGCCTACTAAGTGCAGAAGTTAAGAAATGGAAATACAGCCAGGCACGGTGGCTCATGGCTGTAATCTCAGCACCTTGGGAAGCCAAGGTGGGCGGATCACCTGAGGTCAGGAGTTCGAGATCAGCCTGGCCAACATGGAGAAACCCTGTGTCTACTAAAAATACAAAAAAATTAGCCGGGCATGTTGGCACATGCCAGTAACCACAGCTACTCGGAAGGTTGAGAAGAGAGAATCGCTTGAACACGGGAGGCAGAGGCTGCAGTGAGCAGAGGGCGCCCCACTGCACTCCAGCCTGGGCAACAGAGTGAGACTCCATCTAAACAAACAAAAAGTGGAAATACAGAGCCAAATATGTGAAGCGTTCCCTGCAGCACCTCCAAAACTCGTGAGCGAATTACACAGAAAACCACCCTGTGAGTGCAATGAAGAGACATATTCGTTTCCACATTCTATTCTCGCTCTTTTGTAAAAAGAAGTGGGGGAGACTTTCAATGCATCATAAATTTCACTCCCCTCTAGACTGCAACCTTTCTGACATTTTCTCCCCTTCCCACTATTATTTGTCCTTGCTGTGTTCACAGCTTACGCTCCCCCTCTCCCCTGGCTCCTTGCCATCATCAGCATTATAAGTATGCTGACGCAGTGCCCATTTCATATATATCTATACATTCCTCCATCACAACACAATCTTTATTAAAAGGCTGTGTCAGTCGGGCATCAGGCACATGCCTGTAACACCAGCTACTGGGGAGGCTGAGGCAGGAGAATCACTTGAACCGGAGGCGGAGATTGTGGTGAGCCAAGATCGCGCCGTTGCACTCCAGCCTGTGCAGCAACAGCAAAACTCCATCTCAAAAATAATAATAATAATAATAAATAAAAAGCTGTGTCCAATCACTGCCTCCTTGGCCACACCACCCACTTTCTTCTCACCCATTGTAGGTTCCCACCTGCTACGTCTCTCCAGAAACTACTCTTGCCAGGACAGCTACTCATCCTTTTAGGCCAGATGCGATATTTTATTTCTGTGATCTGTTAGCTGTTTTCACACTGCTGAACTCTCTGACCACCCTTAACATCCTTGCAAAAAAAAAATCAAGCAAACAAAAATTTCCTGGTTTTTACTCTTCTTCTCTGGCTATTTCTTCCCAATCTCTATGGCTGGTGACCCTTTCAAGTATGAGTTTAATATGATCCCTGGGTTTTGTTTCCTGGCTCTCTTCTCTTTCTACACAGGCTTCTGTGATCTCAGCCTCTCCAATCACTATCTAAGAGAATACATTTGATTTAAAATTATTTCAAGTGTCCTAGACTGAATTTCTCAGGTATACCTTAAAATGGACCCAAATCCCTAAGGTGTCTCCAAAATGGGACTGACTTCTTAAGGCCCTCAGTATTCTCATTGGTGAGAAGAGATGAATGGCCAGAAGCAGGGAAGACTGGCTTACCCTCCAGAGGAAAGCCCCAGAACTACAAAGAAGAAAATGTTATTGTAAATAGGGCTGACTGTTTACAATAGCAAAGACTTGGAACCAACCCAAATGCCCATCGATGCTAGACTGGACAGGGAAAACGTGGCACATATACGCCATGGAATACTATGCAGCCATAAAAAATGATGAGTTCATGTCCTTTGTAGGGACATGGATGAACCTGGAAA